ATGGAGCACTGGGTGTTATACGAAAACAATGGATCGTGGATCACCACATCAATAACGAATGATGTATGGTGACTAACATAACATAATAAAATTAAAAAAAAAAAAGAAAGAAAGAAACCCGGGGGAAGAGAGTGCAGAAGGTGGCATCCCTGCCCCCAAACCCTGCCACTGTCCCAGATCGGACCACTCCAGGCTCTGACTGGGAGAGCCTGGGCCCCAACTGGCCTGACCCTGGTCATCCCTTGGCCAGGACTATGGGGACCCAGGCCAAAGCCAGGGGGCCTCTAGCCCCAGGCCCTACACTGTCTCAGAGCTGATATAATTCCCTCTGTCCTCTAGGCTCAAATAGCTCCAAGTGGAGCTATATTAGGAAAGATCTTCCATCCGTTCTCCATTTCTGGCCAGTGCTGACAGCTGCAGGGTCAGCTCTCGCCCTGACCAGCCGAGCGCCCCCTACAGAGGGCAGTGTTGGCGTGGGGCGGGGGTGCGGCTGCCACCTCTGCCCTTCTCTGCCCTGGCACCCGGCACCCAGCTGCTAGCATCTTCTTTGGCATTGACCCCTGCCCCCTGCTTAGCTTCCGCCCGAAGACTCGGAGGCTGGGCAGCCCGTAGCAGACAGCTTGGGGAGGACCAGCGCCCAGGTCTCGGGGAGAATAAGTCAAAGATGTAAGACCCACCCAGGGGCCCTTGCACCCAGTGGCCTGAGGGATACTGCCCTACCATGCCAGCTCATGGAGGATGAGAGGGGGGCTGCAGGGATGCTCTGGCCTGCTGACCTTGCACCCTGTTTGTTCTCTCCAATCCTCCCAAGAGGATTCTAGGTGCCAAGGATTCACATTGTAAGCGGCCCGGAGAGGAGCGGAAGGAGCTTCCTTTTGGAGCCAGACAGGAGAGAGTTCAAATCCTGACCCTGCATCTTCCTAGCACTGTGACTCCGGACAGTTCCCCACCGGTCCCAGCCTCAGTCCCTCACTCACAAAATCGAGATGGTGCTGCCCACCACGCAGACGGGTTGTGCACACTGAACAGAATCCTGAGGGGAAAGCCCTTAGCATGACTTAAGTGTGCAACAGACGGGATGTGGGGATTAGCATTTACCAACTCTGTCACCTTCCAGCACTCAGACACTTAGCAAAGGTGGTAGTCTCAGCCCATCAGAGGCTGCCTGGGCTAGCCCAGGTCAGAGGCTCCCCCCTTCCAGCCAGCATCACCTGGGGACCACAGCATCAGCCTTTACCGTGGACGAAAGGAGATGCACTCCTTCCCTAGCCTGTCTACCCTTGCAGAAACTGTTGGGCCCTGCTGCTCTGAGGGCCAAGTAATAATTTAACACCTGTCGGCTTCTGAGAACCCCTAGCAGCAGCGGGAAGGAGCCACTGGAGTCATGGGAAGCTGGGGTAGGGCTGGCCCTTATTTTCCTGGGCAGGTTGTTAGGTCCCTATCACCATGTAGGGAGGAGTCAGGCTGACCTGAGTGCCATTCCTGTCTGTCACTCATAAGCTGTGTGTGACCTTGAGCAAATCACCCACTCTGAGCTTCTCTTTCCCAGCTAGAAAAAGGGGGAAATGATGCTCACCTCTGAAGTTGCTGAGAGTTGAAGTTAAATAAAGCACATGGACTGTTAGCTGGCCCCACGTCTAGACTGAGGGCTCATAAGGGGAGATGTTACTGTCACAGCAGGTGGGCCTCATGGAGGTCCCAATCTCTCAGAGGCTGACTTCCCTGCCAGGGGCCAGTTCCAGAGAGCACAAGAAAGAGCTACCAGCCCACCCAGGGCAAAAGGAGGCCACTTCTACTCTGCCATTCCTTGAGTTTTCTGGTAGAAGCTCCTTGCTAGATAAAGCCCAGGGGTTGGAATGCCTGGGTGACTCAGTCAGTTAAGCGTCTGCCTTCGGCTCAGGTCATGATCCCAGGGTCCTGGGATCAAGTCCCGCATGGGGCTCCTTGCTCAGCGGGGAGCCTACTTCTCCCTCTGCCTGCCGCTCCCCCTGCTTGTGCGCGCGCTCTCTCTCTCTCTCTGATAAATAAATAAATAAAATCTTTAAAAAAAAAAAAAAAGCCCAGGGGTTTATGGCTTCGTCGCCCTGGTCCAAGGAAGCCAGGGTCCAGGTGCTTAGGCTGTGGAGTGCCCAAGGCCAGCTTCGCTCAAGATCCCAGAAAGAGCTGAGGGATATGGGGAAGCAGTGAACTGGTGGGGCACAGGTACCTTCTGTAGCAAGGGCAAAGGAAGGGCATGGGAGTGAGCCAGACTGACCCAGGATATGAGTCTGACTCATGGGTGCATCTGCCGCGTGGCTTCAAGTAGCACACAGCAAATGTGCCGGAACAGAGCTCAGTGCTGTGCAGGTGTGGTCTCTTTCCATCCTCCCAGTAATCCTGAGACATGGACAGTCTCACACCCATGTACAGAGGAGCCCTGAACCCCTAACCACTGGGCCGTATTGCCTTGACTCAGCCTGTTCTGCCTCTAGAGCACGCGGAGATAATTACACCGATTGCATGGGAGAAGTCAGAATAAGAAAAGGCAGGAAGGGCTCAGGAGCTAGTACGTGTTCCACTTGGGGGCTCCCTCCTCTCAGCCCCTCCATGATGCCCACCCTGGCTATAGGTTCTTTTAGCTCCTGTGCTCGCAGAGTCCCTCCAGCTGGAGTTCAGGGGATGGGGGGCAGGCTACCGTTCTCCTGCACAGCCTCTTTCTCCTCGGGGTCCTACTTCCTTGCCTCGTTCTTTTGAGGGTCAGTCCTACAAGCCCATGACACTCACCCCATTGCTGAATCTTTCTGCACCCAGCTCAGGCGCTCCCTCGTACAGGCAGCCTTCCCAGACCACTCCCAGCCCCAGAGAACTTACCCTCCCATTTCTCTAATTCTTCCCTGCTCCTGCCTCAGGGCTCCTTCAGGGGACCAGCCTGACGCTCGCCCCAGGGTTCCTGGAGGCAGCAGGCTTCATCTTGTCCCGGTGGGCGGGCCGGTGTGAATGTCTGGGAGTCAGTGTCTTCTGCATTCAGACCTCACTTAGCCACTTAGCAGCGGGAGACAGCTGGACCTCGACTAAACCTTCTCGGAGCCTCAGTTTCCCCCTCTGCAGGATCCAACACGTCACCCAGCTTGTGTAAAGCCATGACACCGCGGCTCCAGGCCCAAGTGCTAGCAGCCTCATTACTTGTATCGCTCTCAGCTTGTGCCGCCACATGGGCTGGCTGAGGCCAGCTCCTCGCTCTGACCGCCCGGCCTCTGGGAGCACTGAGGACCCCGGGGGCCCCAGACCACCAGCAGAGAGCTGCGCGCCCGTTACCTACCCTCCTGGGAGTCCGGCACCTGGGGCCTTCCCTCGGAGGCTCATCTGATACATCTGAGCCATCTCCCTCAGGGTCTCTGCCGAGTACAGGCCAATGGGGTTGTTATACTGCCTCGGCTGGCTCGAGCCCTGCGGGACTTTCGGGCTGAGTGAGTCCAGGGCTCCCTCGAGGCCGGTCTTGGCCCCCGGGCTGCCCCGTGGAGGGCCGGGCTCAGAGGCCTCCGTGTGTGAGAAGACGGAGGTCTGGGAGAAGGAGGAGCTAAAGGTCCGCCTGAGCTCCGGGGTGCCCGCGGTACCCGGGGTGCCCAGGCTGGCCCTCGCCTTGGGGTTGGGGCTGAGCGCCACCAGGCTGCCGTTTGTGTCCCGAGCGGGGTCCTGGCACAGGGCAGCGCCATGCAGGGGAGAGAGGAGAGAGCAGTTAGAGGCCACACGTGTCCCAGCGCATCTGCATGGACCTGAAACAGAGATGTTAGTGCGAGCGCCCAGCAGCCTGCCGCCCCGCAGCCTACGGAGCTCAGGAGGGGATGCAGACACCTGGAAGAGAAGGGTTTTGTCGAGGGGGGGGAGGGAGGCACCCATCCCTGGCCCTGGGGCTCACATCCACCTGGACAAAGTGCAAGCCCCACGCAGAAAGCCAAGCCAGCCTGCCTGCAGGGCTGGGGGAGAGGGGGCGTGGGCCTCAGGGAGTTGGAGGGAGCCCCCTCCACCCTGTATCTGCTTCCTGTTCGCCTAAGTGGAAGCCTCTGGTGGGCACAGCCCGACCTCCTGCTCTACTGACCCCTTGCTGAGATGTCCCTGCACGGCCAGTCAGAGGACACCCGGGCTGGCGGTGGTCAGGCAGAGTAGAGGTACAAGAGGGAAAACTGGGGCACTGGGGGGCTGACGTTTGGTTCCTACAGTCCACCTGTGTAACTTCCCCAAGCAGCCCTCTGCCCCTTTCCCCGTCTGTCACCCACCCCAAGCCCCTGTCAACCTCTTCCTGTCCCCTCCCCCACCCTGCCTACAGCCCACTCTGCGCCAGTGGACAGACAGGGGTCAGTATGAGGTCATGCAGGGAGGGGTGGGGCGGGCCTCCCACGCTTCGGGTCGAGCCCTTTGGGCCCACGGGGTTAAGCTGCTTCGAGGGAGCTGGGAAGGGGTGATGGGCACGGGGGCGAGGTAGCCTGGCTGCTATCAGCACTCCTGATAGGCCATGGGGCGTTCAGTCGGGAGGGGTGGTGGAAACTGGGGGGAGACCCTATGTCAGAGGATAAACTCTGAGAGCAGGCAGGCCTCCTCCATGCCTGGGGTGGCTGCTCAAACTGGGGCCTCTGGCCCTCATGCCCCAGTCACCCCCCTCCCAGCACCCTCAGGAGAATGAGGGTCAGAGCCTTCAGGATCCTTGTCCCCACCTAGCTGGGAGGAAGATCCCTCTCAAAAGCACCGCTGCCTAGGCTGGCTTTCCATCAGCCCGGCCCCGAGGCCCCGGGGGCTGGCGAGCACCCGGGCAGGCACCCCACACTCAGTATTTCATGGGGGCTTGAACGCCTCTTCCTGGGGGCCTGCCCCACCTCCCTCACAGCCACAACAGGGGCAAGGGTAGGGCCCTGGCTGGGCCAACCCAGGATCAGGCAGGCAAGCCAGGGGCTGCCCCACAGGAACCACCGCTGAGAGTGGAGTCAGCACCTACCTTCTGGTGGGGGATCACCGGCAGAGGGGACTGGACCGGGGGCGCTGTTGTGGAGATGGGGATGGGGCGCTTCGACCTGGAAGAAACCAGAAAGGGGACCAAGTGAAGACAACTGGCACTAGGACCAGGAGCTCCTACCAGGGCAGGGCTGGTAACAGAAGAGCATCTGAGAGCCGGGCAGCCAGGTCACTGGGTAACAGCTTCAGGCCCACTGTCCACCCCATGGACTGGGTGACTCCAAGAAGGCACTGGGCCTGACCAGGATGAGGAAGTCATGGCCCTTGGGCACTTTGCACCCATGGGCCTCTGTTAGGTCCTTGGGAGGCTGTCTGGGGCAAAGAGGAAGCAGGGAAGACCCTGGCTTTCAGGCCCGACTACCCACACACTGACAGCACCGTGACCACCCCCACCCCCTCATCTGTAAAGTGAGGCACAGATGTGCCAGATGTTTGATGGCTTGGCCCTGGCCCCCTGCTAGTCCAGAGGCCCTCCTTACTTTCCTGTGTAGTCTGTGGCACAGGCCGGGCCCACGTGACGGCTGCCAGACACCCTCTCCTGGGCCCTTGGTGCCCACACCCCTCTAGCCCCTGCTCTGGAGAGCTCCCACCTACTTCTGCAGCGTGAGGCTCAGGTTGTAGTTGGCAGACTTGATCTTGTTCTGGGCTTCCAGGTGGGTCATGGTGTCTGTGTTGACTCCGTCAATGGCCACCACGAGGTCACCCTGGCTGAGCTGGGACTGGGCGGCCTTGCTCCCCGGTGTGATCTGAGAGGGTGGCAGACGGGGGGGGTGAGCGCGCAAAGGGTGGGACTGAGGACGGGCCGGTCTCGAGGAAGAGTTACCTGGGATCATCCAGGTGAGGCCTGCCATTCCCTTTCATTTACTATGGCCAGTACCCGCTGCTCACCAAGCCCGATGCCTCCTCCTGACACACCATCACCCCTTTGCCTAGTGTTCTGTGTCTGAATGCGACCGTGAGACCAGCTCTGGCTAGGGGAAGCAATGCCCGCCACTTCCACGCCTGCCCCTAGCCACCACCCTTGCCATCCTGCACTCTCTCTGCTCATCAGCTGACTGGATGCAGAGGACCCAGAAGAGGACAGTTGACCCACCAGTGGAGGGACCTGAATCCTCGAGTCACTGCTTGGAGGAGAGGATTAAGAAGTACTGCATCAGATGTTGCATGAGTGAGAAATAAGCTTCTTCTATGCTAAGCCACTGAGATTTGGGGGCTGTCTGTTACACCAGTTAGCCTACTATAATGCCTGCACCCCGAAAAGCCATGGGGTACTTTCCAGGCTCCAGGAGGGAGGCTATACACACGAGCTAAGATCCAGCACCACCACAGAGACTCTGCCAGGCGAAGTAGGCAGGACAGATGCACCCTCACAGAAGCACCCAGTGCAAGTGCCCAGTGCTACCATTGCAGGTGGGCCTGCTGGGGAAGCTGTCAACCCAGCCCGGGGAAGCAAGGTTAGCTGGGGCATGGGGCAGGGCTCAACGCTCTGTGGCTGGCTTCACACTCCCAGAAGGGGAGGTGCAGGTGTGGGAACCAGGTCCCAAATCCTGCACACTAATGACATCACAGAATGTTAGAGTCTGGGGACCTCACCCCCAGTGTGATCACACAGAATGCTATAGACCCTGCACGCCAAGAATATCCCGTGTAACGTCAGGAAGGCCACACTCCCAGGGACATTACATGCAATGTCAGGATGGCTCAGACCCACTCTCAATGACATCATGCACAACGCCGAATTCCACAGGCCTAGCCCTCAGTAATAGCATGCTGAATGCAGAGTAGCCCTCCCGCTGCCCCCCCCCGCCCCCCGCAGTGGTGTCACTTGAAATGTAAAATTCTAGAGGGCCTAAGTGATATCACCTATAATAACTTGATGGCTGGCCCCTAGTGACATCACATGGAAATTGATGAAGCCCCACTTCTAAAGACGTCTCATGGAATGTCATGGAGACTGGCTTTACCCCCCCCGAGCCCCACCATGTCACCACATGAAATACCATACCCTACCCCCTACAGATAACGCAAAGAATGACTTTATGACTTGACCCCCATGACATCATTTGGAAGGCCCTCTGTGACATCATGTAGAATGCCGTACAGGCCTCGCCCCCCCAGTGACATCACAGGAAAGAGGAGCCTCTGAGAGCCACCCCCCACCAAGTTGTAACTGGAGGATGTCCCTTGGCTTTTCTTCCCCAACATGCCCACCAGCCAGCTTTCCTGGCTTCTCTGGGCACATCCCAGTCACCTTCCTGTCTATACCCCAGGGACAAGGCTGGCTTCTGATGCTGGCAGAAGCCGTTTTCTGGCCCTGGCCTGGGGGACCATCCTAGAAGGAGTCCAAAGAGGACTAGGGAAAGTCCCCTATCCTGGGTGCCAGGCCTGGGTGAGCCTCTGGCCGGGCCCTGGGCTACCAGACACGGATGGAAGCCTCCTGCCCCACCCTTCACGAGGAATCTTCCTCCAAACCAGGGCCACCTGCGGTCACCAGCCTCTAGTCCCCGGTGGGCTCTACAGGCCAGGCCACGAACTGCATGTGGGAACCCAGGGACAGCAGCCAGAGCGGGTGAGCCCTCGCCGTGGAAGCGCCCTGTTAGCCCCGGGGACTGGGCTACCTTCGCCAACACAGAGTAGCCTCCCCTCACCCGTGAATCTGCTGAGCCGTGGCAAGGACAGTAGAGAAACTCCCCCCTAGACTGCCAGGAAGCCAAAGTCCAGCCCGCTTTCCTGGCTCCTCTGGGGGTATCTTAGAATTACTCGGGCCGGGGCACCTGGGTGGCTCAGTCAGTTGAGCATCTGCCTTTGGCTCAGGTCATGATCTCCGGGTCCTGGGATCAAGCCCCATGTTGGGCTCCCCACTCTCCCTCTACCCCTCCCCCCTGCTCGTGTGCATGCTCTCTCCTCTCTCAAATAAATAAATCTTAAAAATAATAATAATAATAATTACTTGGGTCTTCTCAAAATACACATCCCTGATCCCCAAATTCATGGCCGCAGGGAGCCTCTACTAATGACAGGAGGGTTGCTTCCTTTGATTTTAAGGGGTTGAACAAAGGGTAAAAAATAACAGAGAAAAACAAAACACTTTCTGGGCCAAGAGGGGACTCCCGAGGGCAAGCTGAGCTGCCCGGCTGGGCCTGTCTGCAGAAAATCGGCTTTCCCTACACCTTCTGACTTCACATTCAGGCCTATGCTATGCCCGACATTTTATTATACACATCTTCAAACACAGAGAAAGCAGAATTCTACAGCGAGCATCCCCACCCCCATCACTGAGCTTCTACCTTAGCATTCATTCAACTTTCTGGGTCACGTGTCTAGCCCCCTCTCCGAACGGCAATCCATCTTAGTTTGGCAGCATTTCAGAGAGAGTAGCGGATACCGGCGTGCTTCCATTCAGGGCGAATTGTGCAATGCCTCTGCTGTCCTAGTGGACCGCCCACCGGGCTCCCCCACAGCAGGACACCCCCACACCAGAGCTCCCATGCAGTAGAACACCCCTTACCAGGCTGTCCCCACACCAGGGCTCCCCTGTAGCAGGGCTCCCCCACACCAGGGCTTCCCCATACCAGGACTCCCCCAGATGCTTCTCACCGTCTACAGACAGCAGTAACGAGCTCCCAGGTATGGCAACCACAGACCCCAGACAGAAGGGCGGGCCTTGTGCCTGCAGAGGTGAGGCCTGCTAGGCAGGACTGGAGCTGTGTCCAGAAGATCGTGGATGTCAGCATGAGCAAGGACACCAGAATGACAGCCAAGAGCTGCTGGGGCCAGATCAGCTAGGGCAAGCCGTAGGACTATCCGGAATGCCCTCCCTTTGGAGCTGCCCTGGGGACATCTGTCTCCCTCAAGCATGGGCTAACACCCTATGTTCCCACTGGGTCTCCTGCCTTCCTCTTGCCTGGTCTCGCCTGCCCCCCCCCATCCTCAGGTGTAGACTGGGGTGATCCTGGTTCCCTGGGAAATGCTCAGCCTCCTCAGGGCCTGGTCAGTAGCCGAGTTCCCCCAGGCGAGTGTCGAGCTAGCTCCTGCCTGCCCCAGCGCCTCTCTCCCCACACCTGTGTCTGCTCACCAGGGCTCAGATGGCCTGGCTTTCTGGCTGCCCTGAGCAGGGCCCATGACCCCTGGAGCTGGGGGGGTGGGGGTGGAGGGTACTGTAATTCTCTTCCAGATGGGCTCTCTTCGGCTCTGCCCAGGGCTCCTGAGAGGAAGCAGGGACCCTAAGGAGGTCGCCCCCAGCTGGGTCCAAGGGCCATCAGATCCCCACCCTCTTCTCGGGACCAGCCTGCCCTGCAGGAGGATGGGGCCACCTGGGGACCCTTGCCCAAAGCCCAGGGCTCGTGAAGAGTGTGGTCCAGGCATGGTGTCCCCATGTGTCTCTTGCCTGACTCTCTGCCTCTCTCTCTGCATTCCTTGTCCCACAGAGGACCCAAAGCCACTAAATCCTTGGAGGATTTTTTTTCTTTGAAGCCTTTCTATCCTCTTTTGAGCATTTGAAAACCTCTTCATAACAACTGTTTCATTCCCACTTCACTTTTCAATCTTCCCCAGTCACCAGCCACCTCTCAACTCAGAGCCAGCAGTGGGCAGAGCTCCAGGAGCACGGTCCTGTCTCAAAAGCTCCTTAGGACAGGCTTGAGGTGTTTGGGGGCCAAGATTGCCACCAGGCTCACAGGAGCCCTTCCTCCTTGTTGGGCCGTGGTTCAAGGCACCTGAGAGGGAACACGGGGCTAGCGGGTGCAGGGAACAGCTGTGGCCTCTGCGACAGTGAGTGCCTTGTGGGAAGGCAATAAAACAAAGAGCACAGACTTTGGTCTGAGCCAGACCTGAGGATACCGGGCAGCCTCCACACCCTCTGGGTGAAGATCACAACAACGCCTTTCTCCCACGACTGCTGGGAGGATTACATGTTTAAATAGGTTATTCCATAAGGAGGTGCAGAGCTGAGAAAGCTTCGGGGAAGCTCCCAGTGGAGGAGGTACAGGGGCTGGCCCCCCAGCCCCTGCCCCTGGAGGGTGCCATGGGGCGGAGCCTGGGCTCTCCAGTGCATCCCTGGCTCCACAGGGAGATAAGATCTGGAGCTGGCAGAGAGTGGGGTGTGAGGGGCCAGCCCCAGCTGACCAGTCCTAAGCCAGCCTGCTGTCCCTAGAGGGACCTGAGCATCAGCTGGAAGAGACAGAAGTCCTGTCCAGGGTGCCAGGGAAACAAGGCACTGGCCAGGGCTCGGGCGCACGTAGGCTCCTATTTCCCCAGCTCCCTGGCGGCAGAGCGGGTAGCTGGGCTCTGCAAAAGTTCCCAGCCCTCACTCTCAGTGCTCAAAACCAGACAGGCCCCTGCCTTCCTTCCCCTCTAGAGCTGCCAGTGTAGGTGTGGCAGGGGCTAGGGGGGCAAGGATAGGTAATAGGCGCCGTGAACTGTGCAACTTCCAGTATCTCCTCCCAACCCGCCCAGGCTGACCATCCCGGCTGACTTCCCATGGAGCCCTAAGTGCATTTAACATGATGTGATTAAATTACCATCATGCCATGCTCTGCTCCCTTCCCATCTGGCCTCCCCTGGGGACTTGCTCCATCCTTCATCCTTTCACTGGAACCTTCTGTCTCCCCATGGCCCCACTCCCCAACCCCACCCTGGCCGATAAACAAGCCAGAGGCTTGTCTGTGCTCAAAGAGTCTCTCCTTGCACAGAGGAGTTTTAGTGAAAATATTTTCTGTGATGCGATATTGTGGATCTATGTCCTTCTACATTGGCCCAAACCCATAGAATGAACAACAAACACCAAGAGTGAACCCAGATGTAAACTATGGACTCTGGGTGATAATGATGTGCCAATATAGGTTTATCACTTATAACAAATACATCACTCTTGATAACAGGGGGAGGCTGTGCACGTGCAGGGCAGGGGTGCATATGGGAAGACTGTACCTTCCACTCAATTTTGCTGTGAACCTAAAACTACTGTTAAAAAAGGCTCTCCCTGCCTTAGCTGCTCCAACTGGCTCTTGTCACGTCTCCCTCTCATTTCTTGCACCCGCAGGCTTCTCCGAGAATGACCAGCAGGTGCTTCTGCCTGACTGCCTCCCACCCCTCTCACACCCAGCCCTCGCCACTTCATACCAGTGACCTCCCTGTGCCCAAAACCAGGGGGCACCGGTCCTCTCTCTTGCTGAGCACACCCTTCCCTGGCCTTCTGAGTCTGTCTCCTCCCCTCTTAGCCCCCAGTTCCATGTCCTGGATGTCAGCGGTAGAAAGCTCCCCTGGGCACGTCACTCCCGGGGGGCCCCAGACAACACTGGGGCCTGGCAAAGTCCACTTCGTGCCTCGTAGGGTGGTTCCTGGGTAGAGGTGTTTCCTGGCTCCAAAGAGGTGGAGAAGCTGTGTTTGAGAATGGGAGGGCCTCAAGTGGGGGGGCATTTGCAATCATAGCCAGTCCCTGGATGATAGGGGACCGTGCAGAGAGGGATGGAGACTCAGGGAACTGGGGAGACAACTCCCAGGCGGGAGGGCTGCCCCAGCAGGGTCTAGCAGACATTACTTGGGAAGCCGACCTTCCTCATACTTGCTGCTGTCCCATAGTAACCCTGGGGGCTACGCCGCATGAAGTTGCCCTTGTCCTGGCCCAAGGCCTCGGAGGGTCTGCTCCTCAAGGCCCAGTCTCCTGCCCACTCAGCGCCCTCATGGAGTCAGGGACAGCTCTGAGCACCTGGGAGGGAAGCAGGCAGGGATAAGGCCTAGCCTGGGGACCTCCAAGAACGCATTCCCCAGCCGGGGGCCTCTGTCCGGTTATCTTCCGCGTTTGTTCGTCCGGAAGGCCCCGGCCAGCCTCACAGCAGCCCTCCAGAGGCTTGCCTGACCTTCAGTGTGGCTATAAACAGCTCAGCCTGTCAGCACTGCTAGGCGCTGCCCAAGAAACAGCACTAAGGCCTCGAAATTCCAGGAATGGCCGGCACAGTCAACCCAGAATAGTCTCAGCCTGTCCCCCTCCCCCTCCCAGGGGACCCTCAGTCCTCTGCGTCCCCACTGTAGCTAGGAGATCTGACAAATACTGGAACAAAAAACAGCAAAGAAGCAAAGGCTTCTGGGCTGGTGCCCCAGGAGAGCCTGCAAGGCCAGATGAATAAGGCCTTAAGGGACAGAGGTCTTGGAACAGAGAGATGGGCATCCCCCATCCCCACCCCCACCCCACCCCAGGGGCCCGGGCTCAGCCCCGCAGCTCCCCCATCCTCACCGCCGCCTCAGCGGAACAGCAGGTGCACAGCATCTTCCGCGTGCATGTTAGAAAGCACTCACACATGCACACTCCCATTTCACAGATGAGACAGCCAGGCTGAACTGGTCTTTTCTAAGGCGACACAACTGAGAGCAGCTGAGCCAGACAAAAGTGCGCGCTTGTTCCGTAAAGTCAAGGGCTGCTACATGCACGAAGGACAAGGCCCCAGACCATGGCCCCAGCCTCTGACCTAGCTTGGACGGGGGCAGGCTGGGCCTTTGGAGTGGCTCCTTAGCGGCTGCTCCCACCCCTCCCCCACTTCCTGGAGAATTGGCTATGGCTGGGGCGGGGCGGAGGGGGGGGTGGCGTTAAGGGGAGCTCATGTTACAGGCCCAGCCGCACCTGTCCAGGATAAATAAAGGCATTTCCCCTCCACCCTCCCATTCTCCCTCCTGAGCCCACTTCTCGTGGGTCCTCGCCGAGACCCACTGAAAGGAGGCCGTGGGGGCTTGCTGCTGACCCAGGGTTGATTCTGGTGGGCGGGGTGGGGACTGGAGCTATCACCCAGCCTGAGGGGGGCAGCCTCCCTACGGCTGACAAGGGGCAGGCCCCATTCAGTCCTCTTCCGACTAATCCCTAGCCAAGGGCGGAGGGGCAGGCCAGGGAGTTAGGGGTCACTGAGGTCATAAGAGCTCCTGAGCAAATCTGAGCCTCAGCTTGCCTGGTGCTGAAGTGAGATGGTAATGCCCAGCCCTGCCCGCCCGAACACCTCTCTCAGGGTGGTGGTACAGGTGCCCAGGGGTGTCGGCCCTGCCGAGAGTGAGCAGGCCCTGCCTTTGCTACCCCCACCCCCCACCCCACCGCAATTGGCCACCACTGCCCTGTTGTAAAGGCTCAGGCCAGGACTTGGGAGCATCCACTGGCCCTGCATCCCACTGAGGGAGACGTTCCTGGTGCAGAAGGGCCTTGAGAGGCCCAGCAGCCCTGGTGGGAGTGTCCTGGGCCCTGCCTGGCCAGTAGCCCTGAGCTTGGGATGCCCCAGCCCAGGGCATCAGCGGCCCCCCAGAGGAGTTTGTCAAGAGGTCCTAAGCCCTGGGGAGGATGGAGCCGCCCAGCCCAGCTTGGCCCATGGCCTGGAAGATCTGGGGCATGCCCCCGAAGGAAGCTGGGAGGCCATTATACCTATCCCCCAATGCCCTGCCTGAGCTGTGGGTTCTATTTATAAAGGTACCCCCTAGTCATTGGCTCCATTACATCCCAATACACCCTTTCCCTGCAGTGGGGACATTCTTCCTGCTGTCTAGCTTAAGGCCTCTGTGCTACAATATAAGCCCTGGGCTGGCTGAGGCCAGGTGGTGCATAGATCCTGGGTGAGGTCATTGGCTATCCTGGGTGCCACTGAGCCAGGAGGCTAATGTCCACCCACCAGGGCAGGGAGCACCAGCATGAGGCCTTGAGGACTGTGGGGCTGGGGGAGATGTGGGCTCAGTCCCAGGCATGGGAGGCTGTGGGCCCATGACAGTGAGGGTGGACAGCCTTGTAACCACGCTGGTGGGGAGCTGTGCAGGGTCCTGGTGGGGAGGGGGCCGTGTCCACTGGGGCTCAAATGCCCACGTATCACCACATCATCGGGCAGGGAGTGCAAGGCTCTGGGTGTCCTCCTAGTACTGCACGCTGTGGCCTCCAGGACAGTGGGCCTGGAGGGGTGGAGACCCAGGTTAGATGAGCCAGAACTCCAGCGGGATGAACGTGGCCCTCTCCCTGGACTAGAGCCAGGCCAGTGCCCCCCTCCCCCCCACTGGGGGCTCGTGGCCTCTACACCTGTTATGAGGCTCCTATGGCACTCCTGAGTGGGGCTTCTCCTTCTTGGTGTCCCCCCCAAGTGCCCACATCAGGTTCCACAACCAGGACTGCCTCTCCATGTGGGTATTGGCTCCGTGTCTCCTCTGCCAAGCACCTCCAGGCCTTCCTTGGCTGTCCACCTGAGTGCCTCCTTGCCCACCCCACCCACACCCCCGGGGGCCCACGGCAAATCTCTGCTGCCCTGAGGAAGAAACTGCCTCCCTCCCTGTCCCCAGGTGGGCAGAGTCCAGACTCCCTGGCCCATCCATCCCCCACCAGTGATGGCCTGGAGCCGCAGGCTGTCCCCTCGTGCCCACACCAGCGGTGCAGGAGGAGGCTCAGCCTCAGGCTGACCCCATTAGGCAGGGCTTGTCTTTGCCCTCCCGCACCTCAAAGTTCACCCTGAGCCCCAGGGTCTTCACCCCAGCTCTGCCAGACCTGCTGGGGGGTCCCTCGACAAGTGTTACCTGAGTGCCTACCATGTTCTAGACACTGGGATGGGTGATAGGGACCCGTCAGCGGTTAAAACAAAGACAGCTTCCTCTCAAGTGGATCTAGCTTATCACCTCTCTGGACTTGAGTGTTTCTGGCTGGGCAATAGAGTTACTCAGACAATCTCCAGTGATCTGGGACACCGCCAGCAGGCTGTTCCCTGATCACAGACACTGCAGACCATATGGGCCATTTCCCCAGGTGAGCGTGGGGAAGAAGATATCAGACAGGCAGTCAGAACAGCTGTGGCCGAATGGGTAGGGGCTTGGCCGGGTGAGGGAGGAAGCTGGTAGGAGATCCCCAGCAGGCCCAGGAAAGGGGAGGTGGAGTTGAGACTGTTACCTTGGGCCTGGGATGGAGTGGGGACTGGAGCCCAGTTACCAGCCCAGCCCAGCCCTGAGCCCTGACAGCCGGGCAGCTGAAGTCCTCAGTCTGTTCATCCATCTAGCTGCTGGCCTGTCACCTGCCCTCTCCATGCTAGGAGTGCTCTCTCCCCAAAGCAGCTGCCCACTTCCATGAAGACGCTCCAGGCTTGGGGGCACCCTGGGCTCCCCCTCCCTGGGAAAGGGCTTAAGAAGGTACTAACTATACTCTGTCCACCTGCCTGCCTACCCAGCAAACTTGGCATTTCCTTCTTGGCTCAAAACACCCACCACTTGCCCGTGTTTCACACTCACGACAGGTTGGCGAGCTCAGGCGGACAACAGCTATGGCCGAAACCAGGGGTCTGTGGCCGGCAGTATCCAGTTGGAGCCAGTCCCAGCCCCCAGACTGGGGATGGGGCATGCTCTGCTTTCCAAGAGCCTCAGGGAGGACAGCGGAGGGATGGAGGGATGCACACACCCTCCTCTGAGTGTGCCCCGCCCCTGCGGGTGCCAAGCTGTGTGGGCAGGGCACACTCACCCGGGAGATAGTGAGCGGCATGTTGAAGTCCTTGCCCCCCTGGAGACGGAAGCCCCAGGGCCCGGGCCCGGTCAGGGTCACGCTGTAAGACATGCTCGTGCTGACAGCAGCGGCCTCTGTGGACGAGAGAAGAGAGGGGATGAGAGGGCCCTCACACACCCACCTCCCCAGCCTATACCTGGACCCCTACTCCCGACCCCCAGCCTTGCCTGCTCCGTCCCTTGCTGTCTGGCCAGGCTGTGTGGAGCTCCTGAGAGGCTCCTAAGAATAGCTGAGAACGAATGCCATCGACACTGATATCTGCCCTCTGCTGCGCCCATAAATGGACTGTAACCCTACACTCCGCCCGCCCGCAGCCTCCCACCGTGACTCATACGGCTAATATTGCCCCTGGGGAGGGGTGTCCAGCACCCAGCACCCCCCAGGGGGTAGGACGGGGGACTGGCCAGATTAGTGATAATGCTCTCTCCTCCTTGCTCTCCTCTCCTTGCTCCCTCTGCCCTTTGGAGAGTCCAGATGTATGTACTCTCTGCCCAGCTCAACCCCCACCCCTTCGCCCAGAAGACTGTGGCTGAGCTCCTTTGGGCTGGGGCTTTGCAGTTTGCTGTCTTCCTGTGCAGAGTCCTCCCTGGTGAGGACTCTGAGGTTGTAGCTTACCCAGGAGGAAGCCTGGGACCAAGCTGAGCCTCTGGCTGGTCTGGACAGAGCTTCTGCTCAGGAGACTAGCCATTGGCCCAGGGTTGTCCAGCTGTAAAAATGATCATAATAATAACAGGAGCTCTGGGCATGGCCAAGTTCAGCTCCGGGTCCCTCATGCCATTATCCCCTCAGATCCTGAGAGGCTGCCACCTCAGCCTGCGTCAACCAGGGCTCAGAGAGGTTAAGTGACTTCTCCAAGGTCACACAGGGAATGGACCCAGGCCACGCTGGAGCACCTGAATGGGGCTCAATCCTAATGGACTGGTGCCAGATAACAGTTCCCAGTGGCCGCAGGCACCTCCCAGTGCCCAGACCGGGCATGGGAGTGAAGGGCACAGGGTGCTGGCCTAGGGTCTGAAAGCAGGTCTGAGGCAGGCTCACACCCTCCAGACCCTCTAGGGGCCCAGAGGTTATTCCTGGCTCTCCTGTCTCATTTGTGCTCTGGAAAACTTGACAGCAGCATGGAAAGCTCCAGCTGCCAATGTTGCATGCCAGGTCCCCATGCCCTTTGCACTGGAATGGCAGGGGGCAGGGAGGAGAGGAGGAGATGCCATTTGCTCAGCTGCTGGGACATGGGGCCAGAAGGCATAGGGACGGGGAAGTGTGTGCGGTGTGTTCAGCTTGTAACCCAGAGACAGTGTGTTCTGGGTGGGGGCCTGGGCCCCTCAGGACTCCAGCCAGTGTGGTCTTTGAGCCAAGGTACCTCCAGAAGCCCTTCCTCAGAAGAGGAGATAGTTCAAGGCCATCCTGGCTCTGGCTGAGGAAACTAAGGCTCACGGAAGGTGAAGGTGACTGGACTGGCTGCTCTTTGGCCCTCCGGGAAGGCTCTAGCCTAAGCTGGGCCCTGAGGACTCAGTGCAGGCCTGGGTGTGAGTAATTTCCCAGTGGCCAGCACCCCACCTGATGCCCGGGCCCTGGCCCATACAACATGCACGGTAGGAGTCCCCACAACACAGGGGCATTTGGTAACTTGCCCAAGTTCACAAAAATATCAAGTGGAAGAAGTCAAGGAGGGACCTGTATTCTTTCACCCACTGTACCACCTCTTCTACTATGTGTCATACAGCCCAGTCTGTCCCTGCTGTTCATGGCCAGCACCCCACCCTCCCCC